CCTCTTTGGATTCAGTCATTATTTATCTTTATTTATTTTCCCCTCTGCGCGACATCGCTTCGTGGATGGCGATTTATTTAAACTGTGAAGTGAGGATTAAGAGGAGGGGAGAGGGGGGAGGGGGAGGAGGGGGTTTGAGGGCCTTCGCGAGGGAGGGAGAAGAGAAAAGGGAGGGAAAGAGACGTGTATTGCTGTTGTCCTTGTCTCCTCCTCCTTCTTCTTCTTTCTTCCTCCTGGGCCTCCTCCTCCTCCTTCTCCTCCCTTTCTTCCTCGGCCTCCTACTTCTTCTTCTTCTTCTTCTTCCTCGGCCTCCCCTTCTTCTTCCTCGTCCTCCTCCTCTTTCTGCTGCTTTTTGTTGTTGTTTTGTTGTTATTGTTGTTGTTGTTGTTGTTGTTCTTCTTCTTCTTCCTCTGTCTTCTTTCGTCTTGATCTTGTTCTACTTTTTACTCTTCTTCTTTTCTTCTCATCTTTTTTTCTTTCTTTTTTTCTTCTTCTCTCCCTCCTCCTTCTTCCAATCCCACGTCTTTCGTCGCTGCTGGTTGTCTGTTCCTTTTTTATTATGACCCGTTTAATCCTCTTCTCTCTTGATTCCTCTTTACCGTCTTTTGCCTGTTCCGCTTTCATCATTATTCTCTCTCTTTCTTTCTCTCTCTGTCTGTTTGTCTCACTCTCTCTCTCTCTCTCTCCTCTCCTCTCTCTCTCTCCTCTCTCTCTCTCTCGATCCTCTCTCTCTCCTCCTCTCTCTCTCTTCTCTCTCTCTCTCGCTCTCTCTCTCTCTCTCCTCTCTTCTCTTCTCTCTCTCTCTCTCTCTCTCTCTCTCTCTCTCTCTCTCTCTCTCTCTCTCTCTCTCTGCTCCCTCTCTTCCCTCTCCCTCTCCCTCTTCCCTCTCCTCTCTCTCTCTCCCTCTCCCTCTCCTCTCTCCCTCTCCCTCTCCCCCTCTCTCTCCCCTTCTCTCTCTCTCATTTTTGCTCCCTTCTTCTCCCTATCCGTTATCACACCGTCTCCCAGTTTCCCCTCCATCCTTCCCTTCTCCCTCCCTCTCTCTCCCCTCCTCTCGCCTCTCTTCGCTCCTCTCGCCTCCGCTGACCCCCGCTTAATCACTGGATGAAAAAAAAGTAAAAAACACATAAATATCATAACTGTTGGTTACTTTCCCTCATAGAGACGTCGGTCGTGTACTGCGTGATGCATTTTGGTCGTTTATATGGAAAGCAGCTTAACCCTTGGCCCCTCCGACCAGGGAGAGCGGAGGGGCAGAGGAAGGGGGAGAGGAGGGGAGGGTAGGGAGGAGAGAGGTGGTGAGAGGAAGGAAGGTGTGGAGAGGAGATGGGAGGTAGGGGAGAGGAGAAAAAAAAAAAGTAGGTTGATCAGAAGGGAGGGAAGAGCGGGGAGTGGAAAGAGAAGGAGAGGAGGAGGAGGGGAAAAGGAGAGGGTGGTGCAGGGGAGGGAAGGGAACGGAAAAGAGGAGAGAAGAGGAGAAGGGAAAAAAAAGAGAGGGAGGAGAGAACCAAAGGAGTGAAAGATGAGTGAGTAGGTGAAGAGTAAATGGAAGGAGAGCGAGAGGGGAGGTAAGGAGGGACCAAAATAATGGTAGAGACAAACAGAGAAAGGAGACAGAGCAAGACAGACAGGTATACCCCATTTACCGCCAAACACATGACAGACAGAGAGACTAACGAACCCGCGTACGAGGGAAAGCGAGAGACAGGTATAAAGTCAAGAAAGAGGGGAAGATGAGACAGAGATACAAGAAGGTGATTGAGGAGACACCCTTATTTAAGGCTCTGGAATATATCGGAAAGTTGGTTCATGCGAAGGCAGATGATATGAGAACGGACGCCGACTTTATCTGGAAGGAGGCCCTATGAGAGAGACCCATTAGAGATACAGCAATAAATCAAATCGGACAGAACATGAAAAAGAAAAAAAAGAGAGAGAGAAAGGAAATAGAAGAGAAAAAGAAAAGGAAAAACTTATAGGGAGAGGAAAAAGAAGAAGAAAGACAAAAATAAGGGAAAAGGAGGACTGATAGGAAAAGAGGGAAAGCGGGCTGGGAGGAGGGGGAGGAAGGAGCAGAAGAGTAATGGCGAAAAGAGGGGAAGGGGCACTGTGGAAGAGGAGGGAAGTGGGGAAGTGGCCTGAGAAAGGAAAGGGGGAGAGGGCGAGAGAGGAAATAAAGGATGGAAAGAAGAGGACAAAGAAGAAAAGGCATGAGGAAACGGGCTGACGGGATGGGAGGGAGGAGGAGAGAATGGGATGGGAGGGGGAAGGCAGAGGAAGGAGGGGGGCTGGAGGAGGGAGAATGGGAAGAGGGCTGGGGAGGGGCTGATGGCAGGGGAGGGCTTGAAAAGATGTAGGGAGGAGGAAGGAGGAGTGGGAAGGGGCCGTAAGGAGAGAGACGAAAGAAAAAACAAAGGGGAGAGGGGCTAGGACAGGAAAGAAAATGGCAGAGGGGCGGAGGGGCTGTTGGGAAGGAGGGAAGAGGGGAAGGGGCAAGTGGGAGAGGAGGGGAGGGGGAGAGGCTAAGGAGAGAGGGCAGCAAGGTACTGTTAGGGAGGAGGGGCTGAAAGAAGGGGATGGGATAGTGGAGGGGGAGGGGAGGGGCGAGGGGCGATGGGGAGGAAAGGAGAGGGGCTGGAGGGGATGGATTTTGGGAGGGGAGGGGCTGGGAGGGGAGAGGGGAGGGGCCGTAGGAGGAAGACCCAGGCCTGGCGAGGAGGAAAGGGCTGGAGGGAGGAGATGGAGGGAAGAGGAGGGAGACTTTGGGAGGGGAGGCAGAGAGGAGGAGGGGCTGTTGGAAGGTCCGGAAGGGGGGAGTGAGGGAGGGAGAGTACCGTCCTTCTCGTGGCCTGGTTTAGATGTGAAGGAATGTTTTTATGTAATTTTTTTTAATTTCTAGATCTATTTATTATTGATCGTAAAAATGAGTGGCGATATGCTGGCAAGTATAGCTTAATCACTCCACCAACTCCATCACCCCTGTCTCCACTGCCAAACAACACCCAATCACACTATAAAACTGTCACCTCCAAACCAACCGTGAAATATATCTCTCAAATACAAACCAAATGTAACCCAAATCCTGACAATATCATACCTGATCCTCCACCACCAATCACCTGTACCCTTCCACCACCTTGTATTCTCTCCATCACCTTGTCCCTCCGAGTATCATCACCATTGTCCCATTCCACCACCATCACCTGTCCCTTCCTATCATCACACCGTCTTCCCTCCAGCCAGCCCATCACCTGCCCCCTCCACCACCATCACCTGTCTCCCTCCACCACCAACCTGTCCCTCCACCATCACCTGTCACCTGTCCGCTCCACCGACCCTCCTTCCGGTCAACATCTCCCGCGTCCTGTTCCCTTCTCCCCCTCTGGCTCCCGACGTCCCCGAAGAGGCTCTGGCCATTGCATTCCGGTTCGGTTTCACCCCGAGGAGGACTTGGAGGAGGAGGGGGGGGAGGGGAGGGTAGAAGGACAGAGAGGGGGGAAGGGAGGGTAGGAACGGGCAAGGGAGTGGGGGTTGGAGAGAGGCGGAGAGGTATAGGGACTTAGGGGAGGGGAGGGTAGAAAGGCAGAGAGCGGGGGGGGGGAGAGAAGAGGGGAGTGGCATAGAACATAGGGTAACATAGTGGGAGGGGGAGGGGTAGAAATGGGCAGGAGACGGGGGGGGGATGGAGGAGAGGGGGAGTGGCATAGACATATAGGGGAGGGGGGGAGAGGAGGGTAGAAAGGACAGAAAGAGGGAAGGAGAAGAAGGGGAGTGGCATAGACATAGGGGAGGGGGGAGGGTAGGGAAGGACAAAGAGGAGGCGGGGGGGGAGAGGGGAGAGGCATAGACATAGGTAGACATAGGGGAGGGGGAGGTAGAAAGGCAGAGACGGGGGGAGGAGAGGGGGAGTGGCATTAGACATAGGGGGAGGGGGGGGGAAGGGGAGGGTAGAAAGGCAGAGAAGGGAAGGAGAAGAGGGGAGTGGCATAGCATAGGGGAGGGGGAGGGTAGGAAGGACAGAGAGGGGGGGAGAGGGGAGAGGCATAGACATAGGAGAGACATAGGAGAGGGGGGAGGGAGAAAGGGCAGAGAAGAGGGGGAGGAGAGGGGAGTGGCATAGACATAAGCAGACATAAACGTAGATATACACACAGACACAAACATGGATATAGAGAGGAAGACAGACAGGCAGACAGACACCACGCTCATATAGATTTATGTGTGTATGCATACGAGCAGAAAGTATACAAGCATTCATTGTATAAATGTAGACAGACAGATAGACCCAGACAGATAAAGAACAGACAGATAGATAGACAGACAGATAGATAGATAGGCTGACAGACAGATAGATAGGGACAGACAGACAGGTAGACAGATAAAACAGGCAGACAGACAGGCAAACACAATAGACAGGCAGACAGATAGACAGATAAACAGACAGACGGGCAGGGAACTTAGACAGACAGACAGACAAACGCAGGTAGACAGACAGAGAAACACATGGAAATAGAGATGGGATGGAGACAGAGACAAAAACAGAGATGGAGAAAGAGACACAGACAGAGAAAGAGACAGAGACAGAGATGGAGCGAGAGCGAAGGAGGCCCAAGCGAGAGAGGCGTCCTCGGCGAGCCTCCGTCAGCGCCGCCCTCGGGAACGGAGCGTGGAGGGATCGCTCGCGCCCTCGGGAGGAACCCCTCAGGGCTCCCCTCAGGAAATCCTACGCGCGGTCAGCTGGCACAAGGGATAGAGGGATTATAATAGGATATTGATCCTCCAGCTGGCAGCCAGGTGGTGGCCTCGCAGGCTTAGGAGGAGGAGGGGGGGGGGACGGGGAGGAAAGGAAAGGGAGAGAGTGAAAGGAGGAATGAGAGGAAGAAGGAGGGGTGGTGGGAAGGTAAGGAGAGAGAGGTAAGAAGGTAGGAAGGAAAGAGTGAAGGAATGAAAGGAGGGAGAGATAGGAGGTGAGGAAAAAGAGGAAGGATGGATGGAAGGAAAGAATGAAAGATAGAAATTAGGAGAGAGAAAGAGGCAAAATGGAGGAAAAGAATGAAAGAAGGAAAGTAAGAAAGGAAGAAATTGGAAGGTAGAGAAAAGGAGAGAGGAGGGAGGAAGGAAGGAAATACATATATATGTGAATGAATAAATGAATAGATAAATTAATTAATTGGAAAGGAAGGAAATGGAGAGAAAGGTGGTAAAAGGAAGGAGGGAAGGGAAAAGGATGGAGAATGGAGCGTACCTCGAAGAAGGAAGGATAGAAGCGACCGATGACTTTGTTGGCGAAGGCGAACGATGGCTTTGTTGGCGATTGACGAAGGAAACGATCGCCGATTGTCGCTGACGTCACTTCCGGCCGATGACTGTCTATCGACGGCTCTGTGGCTCTCGAGTTAACAGGACGCATCAGGCTGTGAAAGAGTCGAGGAACTGAAGACAAGCAGTGGCTCCTCGTGTCGAAAATGGTTTTTAGGTCACGATGCTGGAGACGGATGGACGTGGTATGAGTGGAATCGCGGGTCGAGTCGCCGTGGAACTCCGTAAGCAGAGACGAGGTGGATGGTTTAAAGGGTGGGGGATGGGGGTAAAAAAATGTAAATAAGTGGTTGTGTTGTAATATGAGTTGTAAGGTTGTGGTGTGTCGGTTGTGTGTTGTTTGTTTTGGTTGTTATGTGTGTTTTTCTGCTGTTTGTTGTTGTGTGTCGTTTGTGCTATGTGTGGTGTGTGTTGTGTTTGTGTATGTGTCCGTGTGTATGTGTTTTGTTTGCTATATGTGCATGTGTGTGTATGTATCCGCGTGTGTCCGTGTCCGTGTCCGTATGTGTATGTATCCGTCTGTATCCGTATGTGCGTATTATTTAAAAACACACGTTATTTCCCCTCTTTTAACACCACCCCTTCACCCCCCCCCTCTCTCCCCAGGGCGGAAACGCGGCCCCGGGAGCTGAGGACGCCTACGTGGAGGAGGAGGACGCCCAACGCCCGTCTGACGCCCACCACGCCGCCGTCCGTCAGGTATTTGGGCTTTCTCTCATTTCTCTAGATTTTTTCTAAAATATTTTATCTTGATCATCCAATCATTTATTTTCTTTCACTAAAAAAAATTCCCATCCAATCATTTCTTTGATTTCTTTAAGGATTTTCTCCCGATCATCCAATCATGTCTTTCATTTCTCAAGATTTTCTCCCGATCATCCAATCATGTCTTTCATTTCTCAAGATTTTCTCCCGATTATCCAGTTATTTCTTTCATTTCTCATCCAGTAATTTATCTAATTTCTTAAGATTTTCTCCCGGTCATCGAATCGTTTCTTTCATTTCTTTAAGATTTTCTGTCAATCGTGAAATTATTTTTTCATTTAAAAAAATTCTCCCATCCAATATATATATTTTTTAAATTTCTTAAGGTTTTCTCCCGATCATCAAATTATTTCTTTCATTTCTCATCCATTAATTTCTCTCATTTCTTAAGATTATCTCCCGGTCATCCAGTCATTTCTTTCATTTCTTTAAGATTTTCTCCCGATCATCCAATCATTTTTTTTTATTTAAAAAAATCTTCCACCCAATCATTTCTTTCATTTCTTAAGATTTTCTGTCAGTCATGAAATTATTTTTTCATTTAAAAAATTCTCCCATCCAATATATATATTTTTTTCTTAAGGTTTTCTCCCGATCATCCAGTCATTTCCTTAATTTTTCATCCAATAATTTCTTTAATTTCTTAAGATTTTCTCCCGATTATCCAATTATTTTTTTCATTTCTCAAGATTTTCTCCTGATCATGGATTTTTTTTTTTCATTTCTCAAAGATTTTCACCCAATTATCCAACTATTTCTTTAATTAAAAAAAAGAAAAATCTCCCGATCATCCAATTATTTCTTTAATTTCTCAAGATTTTCTCACAATCATCGAATCATTTCTTAAGATTTTCCCCTGATCATCGAATCATGTCTTTCATTTCTTAAGATTTTTTTCCCAATCATCCAATCATTTCTTTCATTTTAAAAATATTTTCTCCTGATCATGGATTTTTTTTTTTCATTTCTCAAATATTTTTACCCAATTATCCAACTATTTCTTTTATTTAAAAAAAGAAAAATCTCCCGATCATCCAATTATTTATTTAATTTCTTCAGATTTTCACACGATTATCCATCACCTCTTTCATTAAAAAAAAAAAGTTCTCCCATCCAATCATTTCTTTCATTTCTCAAGTTTTTCTCCCAATCATCGAATAATTTCTCAAGATTTTTTTTCCAAATCATCCGATCATTTCTTTCACTTCCCAACATTTTCTCCCGATCATCCAATTATTCCCCTACACCCCACCCCCTTCCCCCTTCCCCTACTCTTCCCCCCCCAACGCTGACCGACTGGCGCCCCTCCCCCCCCCCTCCCCACCCACCCTCCTTTCCCCCTCCCTACCTCTCCCCCACCCCCTCCTCTCCCCCTCCCCCTCCCCCACCCCTACTCTCCCTCCCCCTTCCCCCTCCCTCTCCCCCTCCCCTCCCCTAACGCTAACGACACGGCGCCCCCTCCCCCCTCCCTTTTCTCCCTCCCCACCCACCGTCCTCATCCCCCTCCCCCTAACGCTAACCGACACGGCTCTCCCCTCCCCTTCCCCCTACTCTCCCCCTCCCCCTCCCACCAACCCCTCCTCATCCCCTTCCCCTAACGCTAACCGACATGGCTCTCCCCTCCCCCCCCGCAGGACGAGGCCGAGGGGGCGGGCGGGCGGCGCGGCGGCGGAGGCGGGGCGGCGCGGGTGTCCGAGGTGCCGTGCCTGATCAACGGCGAGTACGAGGTCGCCTGCAGGAGGGACGAGAGGGACGTGTTCATCCCCTTCTCCTTCATCCACAATTACTTCGAGGTGAGTCCGGTTTGTTGTTGTTCTCTGTCTGTCTGTCTGGCTGTCTGGCTGGCTGGCTGTTTTTCTTTTTCTTTTCCTGTTTCTCTTTCTTTCTCTTTTTCTTTCTTCTTTCTTCTTTGTCTTTTTCTTTGTCTTGTCTTTGTCTTTCTCTCTGTCCTCTCTCTCTGTCTCTCTCTCTCTCTCGCTCTCGCTCTCGCTCTCGCTCTCTCTCTCTCTCTCTCTCTCTCTTCTCTCCTCTCTCTCTCTCTCTCTCTCTCTCTCTCTCTCTCTCTCTCTCTCTTCTCTCTCTCCCGCGCTCCTCTCTCGTCTTTCTGTTTCTTTGTTCTCTTTTTTTTTTCTTTCTTTGTTTTTTTCGTGCTTTTTTTTTTGGGGGGGGGGGCTCTGCCTCTTGTCTCTGTCCATTGTTCCTTCTTTCGCTTATTTTTTAGGGGGTTTCTTTTTTTTCTTCTTCTTTTTACCGGTTTCTCTCTTGTCATTTCTGATTCTCTCCCCTTTCTTCCCGACTTCTTGGCATTCCCGTGTCATTGAATTACCTCCCTCCCTTCTTTCTTTTTCTTCTTCCGTATCTCCTTTACTCACTCGGCTTTTTTCCGTCCCCTTCCCTCCTTCCATGCTGCTATTCGCCACTTCTTTTCTTTGCCTCTTTCCTTCTCCCGTTTCTTCGCATTTACCAGCTTCCTTAGCCCTCCTTCGTCGCCCGGGCTTCTTGCTTCCTTGCTTCTGAAGAGCAGGAAAAAAGGCGTGTGGGATTAGGATGGACTTTGCAGGAGAGAGGATGAGGGGGACTCCGTAAGGGCGAATATGACGAGAAAATGATAATGAGAATAACAGGGCAAGAAAGGGGGAATTGTTAAGGGGAGAGGGAGGAAACGCTGAAACAGATTGATGAACAGGAGGGGGAAGAAAGAGAGAGAGGGAAGAAAGATGAAAGCAGGAGAGGGAAGAGAGAGAGAGAGAGAGAGGGAGGAAACGCTGAAACAGGAGAGGGAAGAGAGAGAGAGAGAGAGGACTGAAACAGGAGAGAGAGAGGGAGAGAGAGAAGAGAGAGAGAGAGAGAGAGAGAGAGAGAGAGAGAGAGAGAGAGAGGAGAGAGAGAGAGAGAGAGAGAGAGAGAGAGAGAGAGAGAGAGAGAGAGAGAGAGAGAGAGAGAGAGAGGAAGGAAGGAAGGAAGATGAAAGCAGGAGGAGAAGGTAGAGGGAAATGGGGAGGAACTAAGGGAAGCTAGGAGGAAGAGGGGAGGGGAGGGAGGAGGAAGATGATGAGAATCGAAGAAGAAGACATGGAAGGAGAAGAGATAACGTCGGGGATGAGGAAATGGAAGAGAGAAGCAAACAGAACAAGAAGAAAGAACTGGGGAGGAAGGGGATGAAATCCGTAAGGGACGCGCAGAAGGCGGAGGACTCGGAGGAGACGCCGGGAAAGAAGAAAGAATGGAAGGCAGGAAGGAAAGAAGGAGGGAGGGAGGGAAGGGAGGGAGGAAGGAAGGGAAGGAGGAGGAAGGAGGGAGGGAGGAAGGAAGGAAGGAAGGAAGGAAGGGAAGGAAGGAAAGAATGAAGAAAGAAAAGAATAAAAAAATGAGAAAGAAAGAATAAAGGAAAGAAAGAAAAAGGAATAAAGGAAAGAAGAAGGATCGGAGGAGACGCTGAGCAGGAAGGAGGGGAAGGCGGGGAGGAAAGACCACAGCTGAGCGGACATAACTCGGTTACGAACCGAACTCCGCGACGCCAAATTGGGTTTTAGGCGACGATTGTCAGTGTAGTTGTCTCGCGAAGGAGGAGGAGGGGAGAGAGGGGAGAGAAGGGGGAGGAGGGGGAGCGAGGGGGAAGGGGGAAGAACGGAGGAGGGAAGGATGCTTGGGAGAACGTACGGGTTGAGGGAGGTAGGGAGAGGGAGAGAGAGAGAGGGGAGAGAAGATGGGTAAATTGGGGAGAAGGGTAGGAGGAGAGCAAGGAGGAAGGTGAAGAATGGAGGAGGGAAGGATGCTTGGGAGAACGTAGGGGGTGAGGGAGGTGGGGGAGAGGGAGAGAGAGAGAGGGGAGAGAAGATGGGTATGTTGGGTAGACGGAAGGAGTGGAGATGGTAGAGGGGGAAAGAGTAAGGATGGCGAGGGAGAGAGGGAGAGGGAGGGAGAGGAGAAAGGGATAAGATGTGAGAAAAGGAAATGAGATGGTGGTGGGAATGGCAGAGGATAAGGAGGAGGGCGTATGAATAAAGAGAGAGGGAGGGAGGAAAAAAAGAAATAGAAGAAAGAAGACAATGGAGATGACACTCGAGCAAGAGCCGAGCCGAAGTCGCATTCCTTGAAGCAGCCTCGTCCTCCAGGTGCCCTCCAGCCTTGGGGCGAAATGGCCATGTTCTTGGCGAATATTTGGCCCCGCGGGAGAGGGCATAATTACGCGCGTATCTGTTCCCTCGTAGATACAATGGCCGTCTCCGCCCGCCGCCCTTCCTCTCCAGACGTCCGCCCGCCCGCCAGGTAATGAGGTCCTCCGGGAGAGAGTCCTGTGACCCAGCTCCCGCCTGCCGCCCTCAGCCGCCCGGTCGTCTCTCCTCTCTCGGATCTCGGCCCTCGCTTGATGCAGGTCGAGGCGCCTTCTCTACCCTCTGCCAAGCGTTGCGTTTCGTCTCCAGGTCGATTTGGTCGCTGAGGCCTCTTCCGTCGGCGTTTTTTCTGATCTTGCGGTCGCGGGATTCCAGAATTCGTCTGTTTTGACTACCTTATTGTCGCTCGCTTCATCCACGTCACTTGCATCTCCACTAATTCTTCCTGCGGTTCCACTTCCTCCTAAAATTCATCTCTACCTCTTCCTCTCCTTCCTTCTTTTCTTCTTCTTCTTCTTCTTCTTCTTCTTCTTCTTCTTCTTCTTTCTTCTTCTTCTTCTTCTTCTTCTTTCTTCTTCTTCTTCTCTTCTTCTTCTTCTTCTTCTTTTCTTCTTCATCTTCTTCTCCTCTCTCCTCTCTCCTCCTTCTCCTTCTCCTCCTTCCTCCTCCTCCTCCTCTCCTCCTCTTCCTCCTCCTCCTCCCCTCCTCCTCCTCCTCCTCTCCTCCTCCTCTCCTCCTCCTCCTCCTCCTCCTCCTCCTCCTCTCTCTTTTTCCTCCAACCTCTTGTCTTCATAATGATGTGTAAACATGGAACGTGATTTTACAATTACGACAGTTCCGGCAGTCGGCGACCATAAAGGCGGGGGAAAGTTCGTGCCTGCGTGTCTGATGACAATCGGCTATTAATTAAATCGTCAAATGCAGTCGCTTTTGGAAGGGCGGGATCGGCCAGACGGGGACGTTGGGGAAGCTGCAACATCGCCGGGAACGGGACGATTGCATGCAGGATTCCCGGTTCGTTTCGGGGTTGCGCCGTTGCAGTGGGGTGCTTGGGGCGGCTGGGATTCCGAACCTGGTTTCCTGTGGGTTCCCCTGGCCCTGTGGTGTGGTGTTCCTGTCTGGCTGTCTGGTGTTCCTGTCTGGCCTGTCTGGTGCCTGTCTGGCCTGTGGTGTTCCTGTCTGGCCTGCCTCTGGTGTTCCTGTCTCCTGTCTGGTGCCTGGCCTGCCTCTGGTGTTCCTGTCCCTGCTGGTGTGTCTGGCCTGTCTCTGGTTTCCTGTCTGGCCTGCTCTGGTGTTCCTGTCTGGCCTGCCTCTGGTGTTCCTGTCTGGCCTGCCTCTGGTGTTCCTGTCTGGCCTGTCTCTGGTGTTCCTGTCTGGCCTGCCTCTGGTGTTCCTGTCTGGCCTGCCTCTGGTGTTCCTGTCTGGCCTGCCTCTGGTGTTCCTGTCCTGTCTGTGCCCTGCCTCTGGTGTTCCTGTCTGGCCTGTCTCTGGTGTTCCTGTCTGGCCACGTACCTGTCTCTTCCTCTTTCTTTTCTTTCTTTCTCTTTCTCTTCTGTCTCTTCTCTTTCTTTTGATGATGAATTTATTAGTGTTATAATTTTTCAAGCTTTATTATTCTCTGTGTAGTAGTAGGGTAAAACCAGTGGTCCAGGCTTATGCAGTACATGAAACTAGGGCGCTTTGTTGAACAATGTAACACATATTAAATTTATCAAGCAAAATCTCCGGATACACTCGTGTGCCTCGAAACTCTCCCATTCTTTCTGCTCTCTGATACTTACTTGCTTCGGAATTCTTGCATTGGTGTTTACCAGGAGGGATTTGCCTTATCAGAAAATGTTAAACGGCATCCTCTTCTCTTGCATCAGCCTTTCATTTTGTAGGAATATCAGTCCATAGGTTTTATGGGCTGATTTTTTTTTTTTTTTTTTTTTTGCAAGATTGGGTTCTGCACTTGGTATTTAGAAGAAAAAAAAATGTTTCGTGGATAAGGCTTCAATGATAGTATTTTTGTTGTTATTATTATTATTATGAACATCATTCATGATTTATCAGTTATCATTATCATTATTATCATTATTATTGTTGTTATTATAATTATAATTATGATTATAATTGTGTTTATGATTGTAATGATAAAGATAATGGTATTTATGATGATTGTAACTGTCGTGATGATAATAAATATAATAATAACTGTAAAGATGGTAATGATGATGATATGGATAACAATAATAAAAAGTAATAATAGTAATGATAATGATAATAATGATGATGATGATTATAATAATAATTATAGAT